AAGTCCCCCACATAATCGTCAGCCCGCTTGCTCTTCACTAGCATGTCATCCACATACACCTCCATGTTTCTCCCTAATTGTCCCGCAAACATCCTATCCACCAACCTTTGATAGTTTGCTCCCGCATTACGCAGGCCGAAAGGCATAACGACATAGCAATATGTCCCCTTAGATGTGACAAAACTCACCCGCTTCTGGTCCTCTATAGCCAACGGTATCTGGTGATATCCTTGCAAAGCGTCCATCATACTCAGCAATTCACAACCCGATGTTGAGTCAACCAATTGATCTATACGCGGCAACAGATAATGATCCTTGGGGCATGCTTTATTAAGGTCCCGGAAGTCTGTGCACATGCGCCACCTGTTTTTTGCCTTCTTCACCATTACCTGATTTGAGAGTCATTCCGGAAATTGAATGTGTTTGATATGGCCAGCTTGAAGCAACTTCTCCACCTCTTTTTCGATAACGACATCCAACTCTACCCCAAAATGTCGTCGCTTCTGTTTGACAGGTCTCATTCTGGGGTCGATGTTCAATTTGTGTTCTGCCACCTTAGGATCAATGCCCACTAAGTCCTCCGGGGTGAAAGCAAAAATATCAACATACTCTCTCAATAAAGTAACCAACTGTGCTTTAATATGCTCACCCAGCTCCTTGCCCACCTTTGTCACCTTCTCACACTCCCCATCCACCAAGGCAACCTCCACGAGTTCATCTTGAGGAGTCATTTCAGTTCTAGCTTCCTTCGCTCTAGTTGAACTCTTCTCCTTGGACCTACTTAGGTTGGCCTCCGTGCTCTTCCTCTTGTGACCCGCCTTCAACACCGCTTGGTAACAGGTCCTCGCCAATCTTTGATCTCCCGTCACTTCACCAACCAGCTCACCCACCGGGAACTTCATCTTCATGCAATACGTAGTAACTGCTGCTTGGAAAGCGTTCAAGCTAGGTCGCCCCAGAATGGCATTGTAGGCCGACTCCGCTTTAACAACCACAAAACGAACTGCCCTCACTTTTTTTAAAGGAGGAGTGCCCAAGGCCATGGTGAGTTGCTCCTCCCCCAATGGTACCACCTCCGCGCCACTGAACCTAAAAAGAGAGGTCTTGATTGGTGTAATCTCCATCCCCAAGTCCATCTTTCTAAAGCATTCGTAGAACAGAATGTCCACCGAGCTCCCCGTGTCCACTAGTATCCTTTCAACATCATAGTTCGCAATTTCTGCTGTCACCACCAACGCATCATTATGGGGTACCAAAATGCCTTCAGAGTCCCTTGCTCCGAAAGTTAACTCCGGTATGGTGTGAGCGATTTGAACTTCTGCCACACTCTCCCAATCGGCCCTCAAATTAGCCCGCCTAGCTCCATTAAAATCACCATCTGTTGGCCCCCCAGATATCATATGGATCACCCCCCTTTTTGGAGCCCTTTCCCCTTGCTCGTCATGTCTCCTCTTCCGATCAACCCCCTCGTATCACTCTTTTTCTCCCTATCCTAGACCACAAACTCCTTCGAGTGTCCGACTCTTATCAACCTCTCAATCTCATCCTTGAGCTCCTTACAGTTATTGGTCCAATGCCCATAGTCCCGATGATACCTACAGTAAGGGTCTCCTTTCGCTGGTACTCTCCCAGACTTCTTTGGTAAGGGATGGGGCTTCCCTAACATCTTTGTCTCTCCACGCTTTTCCAACATCTCAAAAACCTGCCCTCTCGGTGATGTCAGTGGAGTGTAATGCTCATATCTGAACCCCATGCGCCCCTT